TTGAGAACTTAGACTGAAGAAACTCTGAGAGAAAGCCAGAGAGATTGACGGTTCAGATCCCAGTTCCACTGCTTACAGCTGTATGGTCTCTCACAAGTTACTTAACCTCTCTGTGCGTTGGTTTCTCCCCTGCAAAGTGGAGCTAGTAGCAGAATCGGAGCTCATGAGGGAATTGTGAAGGCTCAGGTCGCGTGTCCTAGCAGGCCTTCGGCCAGGCAGGCAGCCAGCCAGCCAGATGAGGCAGCCTTCCAGCCCCCCTCCAAAGAAGCTGCATTAAGCTCCAACCCTGAAATGGCACTTCCTCACAAGCCTCCCACCTGGCTCCTGTCGGCAATAGGCTTCTTTCTTCTGCCCCCACCTTAAGGGCTAAAGCGTCACCTGGTCAGACTGCACAGGGCTGCTCAGTGCAGATCTGAGCTGCACTGAAGTCATTTTATTGTGTAGCCGGGCCCTGCCAGATGCAAATGAGGACAGATCCAGAGAATTATGGTTAGACCTATTACAATTGCCTTAAAATCTCCTAGACATTACTTGTCAGTCCCAGGTCATCCTTTGCTAGACTTATTCTTTGAACCATTTCGTCCTTTTCTAAATCTGCTTCCCCCCCGCCCCGCCCCTGCTGAACACCTGATGTATTTTTTTTCCAGCTCTACTAAGACCCAGAATCTGTCATCTAATCTGGACCCAGAATTCCTTTGGTTTCAAGCAAATCATTTTTCTCAAAGTTCCATGAATCCCCTGCTTACCTGAATCCCAGGACTCTGCCCAAACTTGCCTTCTGTTTTTGGCTCTTCAGCACCCAAGAAACCCAGGACTTGCAATGTCTTGCCTGGCCCCCAGGCCATCTCTTGGGCTCAGCAAGGCTTTATCCTGTCTGGTGAAAGATCCCCTCATTGAATTGACCTTCCTTGACTTGATCTCTTCCATTGTCTCAAGGAGAGCGGGACCACTCCCGCAAGTGCCCTGGGCACTCACATCTCTTGACCTCCATCATCTAAGAATGGTGGTTCACCTCCAGGCATCTGCTTTCTCCTTCTGACCTTGATTTGCCCTGTGTTCACCTTTTCCCACCAACTCCCACTCTGCATCTACTTCTGTGCCCTCGGTCTCCTCCTAGGTTTATCTGTTTCTGCCTTTCCTCCTAGCCTTCTCGTTTGTTTCCCCCGTCCTATATCTCTCTCCATTAAATGCCCTCAAATGCATTTTTTTCCATGACTCTTTAATTCACGTAATTTCTAGTCTAGCAATTCAGTAAAAGAATCACTTTAGAAAGCCTGAGTTCAGGCAACCTCCGTTAAGCCAAGCTGTTCCCGCTTCCTTGAAGAGCATAGTGGGTGCTATAACACATCTGTTCTTTGCACACATGGCTTCCAGCTGCCAACAAGAGCTGTGTGTGCGTGTCTCTCTCTCTCCCAAACACACACACACACACACACACACACACACACACACACACACACCTGGTGGGTTCTGCACATCCTCAGGGTTTGGTCTGTACACCTGTTTATACAATAAGCCTCCTCGAGAACAGCATCTCGGTCTCAGTCAACATTTGTCTTGGTGTTCTTAGCGCCTGGTATAGGAACTGACATATACCGCTTTCTCCATGGGTGTGGGATGAATGAATGAATGGGTGGATAAATAGTATTTGTCACACAGTGTACAAAAGACCAGCTGGGAAGAGAAGCTGCCTGCCCCTTAGCCGGCCCCACCATATTAGAACCATCCATGTATGATATGAGTGGTGTATTCCTATAACCCTAAGTGAAAAATCATCTCTGAAGAACAAGAGTCCTCTGAAAAATTTTATGAGACATCTGCTCAGTTCATCTTGTACTAGGCTTCCTTCATATCATGTTTTAATTTACAGTTCCCAAAGACTTTCCTAAGATTTCTTTCCAAATATGGGGGGGGGGGAGGGAAGAATGATATTTGCATTGGGTTCTTTTGGAGAACAGTTTTATCACTAAATAATCTGATGTCAAGATAATGACAAATACACATGTAGATACTTTTTAGGCCATAAATATGTTTGTATTTCAACATGTAAATTTGGTTTTGATGTTTGTTTCTTCCTGGAGGCAGTTCACTTTCCTGGTTCAGGTCGATGTCTGGTTGTTTCAGCGCATTTGTAATGTTCTCCCTCTGATTTTCAGGTTGACTTTGATCAACTTCAGGATAATTTATGTCAGATGGAGAGAAGATGCAAAGCTTCATGGGATCACCTCAAGGCAATTGCAAAACATGAAATGAAACCCGTTTTAAAACAACGAATGTCAGAGTTCCTAAAAGACTGTGCAGAGCGAATTATAATTTTAAAGATTGTCCATAGAAGAATAATTAACAGGTAAGTAGATCAAGGACTAATGGAAACACCTGTAAAATGGCATGTTGAAAATATTCTACAAACCAAGATCTGAAGGTTAAGGTTCCAAAAATTGTACTGTAAATCCTTGCTACATAGAAAATACACCTTTGTACATGTTTGTTTCACGGGTATTTAATTTTCTTACACACACACACACACACACACACACACACACCCAAGAATATGATGCCATTGAATTTTGAGGTTGGAAGGAATCTTAGAGATCATGTGATCCACACATCCCATTTGAGTAGGAACTGCATCTATAAGATCCTTGACAAGCTGACCCCTGTATCTATCCCTGGAGCTGCTTGAACAGTTCTGCGTACCTACAGCACGTGTCGTCGCAAGACAGCCTGACTCGTTCGAAAAGCTCTTTCTCTATATAACGTGCAGCATGCCCTCTAAGACCCTCCCCTTGTTGATTCTCCAATGGCTGCTCCACTGCTGCCCTCCTGGATGAGGCCTGGGCCCCCCAATGGGTGCCACCCTCTGCACCAGCCTTCCTTAGGGTCACAGGAGTCAAGAGGAGCCTGGAAGATGTGCAGGGATGTGTCAGGCCTTTCTTGCCTACGAGGAGGCTGGCCAGGGTCCAGGGCTGTCTCAGCTGTGAGCAGAGGCAGCACCAGGACCAGAACCTGGGTCTTCTGACTTCCGGGGCCAGGGCATTTCTAACCACGCACCACCACTCTCCTCTCTTTGCGATATCACAGAGTATGGTTGTAGGCTTCTCATCTGGGCCTTCAGGGTCTGAATGCTCTGTCCTGGGCCTACTGAGCCTGTGGACCTACAGGCTGTGGTCTCCCTGGAACAGGTGCTCTGGTGACAGACCTTCTGAAACAGGCCTCGTTGTGGTTCTGTTAAGAGAGCACCTTGGAGCCAGCTCAACTGCAGGCCTTTCCCAGAGACCTGCCCCTTGGGCACACTCCCAGACCTCTATCTGAGCACTTTATTATCTTTTTAAGCAACTCGGCCGTATTTTCATTTATCTCTGTACATTTCCTATTTTTTATTCTTTTTTTTCTCTTCCTCTCTTTCATCTTTTAGCTTTTCTTTGAATCCACCCAGAACATCAGGAACCTAATTGCCTTGCCTGCATGTGAGCTCTTGCCTGGCTTGTGCCATTTGCTGCTTTGGGAATTGTACCTCCTGGGTCTTGGTCCAGGCTGTTGTAGGGCAAACAAGGTGGTGGTAGTCTTCAAATGGTACACAGAGGGCGCCTGGGTGGCTTAGTTGGTAAAACATCCAACTCTTGATTTGGCTCAGCTCATGATCACAGGGTACATGGGTTTGAGCCCCGAGTGGGGCTCTGTGCTGATGGTGCAGAGCCTGCTTGGGATTCTCTCTTTCTCCCTCTCTCTGCCCCTCTCCATCACTTGGGCGCACTTGTGCAAGCGCTCTCTTGCTTACTTGCTCTCTCAAAAATAAATAAACTTAAAAAAATAAAAATGTTAGTCAAGACAAGAATAGGGAACAGAATCTTCCCTCCAGGTTGAAGACCATCCGTTACTCAGTACTTCTGGAATTTAGTTGTAAATCCCTCTCCCTGCACTCCACCTTGACCTCTTAGCGCCCTCTGGGGAGGAGGGTCTTATCAGAGATTTGGTCAAAGTTCTTAGTGAAATCAAAGTACACCATGCTTTTAACATAGTGAGCAAGTGGAGGCAGGGAACGTGAGCTGCTTCGGGCCTCCCTGCTTTGGTGTGATACAAGCAATTTCCAACTTAAAACTACTCAAACAAATAGTTTCCACTTGGAATGTTATGAAACTGGAGTAATTTTCTGAAAGTCTTGGAAAGCTGTTATGCCTGATCACATTAGCCATATTATCCTGGATAGGTAAAAACTCATTTTGTTGATTCCTTAAACTAGTGTGTGTGTGTGTGTGTGTGTGTGTG